ATTTCGCTGTGGTGAGTTCGCCGTTCGCCGGCATTGTATTTCAGCTATAACATTGATACAAATTAACAAAATTGTATCTCCGCTCAGCTCTGTTAACTTGCCGCTCAGATCTGGTAATTTGCCGCTCTCAATTTTCGATTCGAGTGGTGAGCTTCTAGAGCGATTTTGGTAGTGTTTGACAATTCACACGGCTATTCGTAATTGCTGCTTCTCTGTATTAAACGTTCTCTGTTTGGTTCATGCTGGAAAATGGCTTGTCGCAAATTTCCGGAAACGTGGCAGATGTTTTTGTAATAGATTTTGATACTGTGGAAAAGAACCTATGTATTTGCTTGGTTGCCAGCTTGAAAATCGGCAAGTTGGAATAGATTTTAAACCTTTTGTATTTAAAACAGCGTTGATGGAGTTGGAATAAGCTCTATCTGGCGCCAAATTTAATTATTTCCAGCGCATTGCTTCGGATTCTTGTTGAAAGTATGCGATTGTACGCTTCAATTGTTTATTGTTGCCAAAAAAGATATGGCAATACCATCATTGTTTGATGCTTGCATGATGTTGGCTGCGCTTCAAAAGGTCGCCATTGATATTCTATTACAAACGAAATATCTCGCCATCATTGTAAATTTCTCTATACTATTTTCTCAGTCGTTTCACAAGCACGTCGTCGAAATTGCGTAGTTGAAAAACTTGGCTCCGTGGGAAATCTATTATTGAAAGCAATCTGAAAATTATTATATTTGTATAGCAATAATTGTTATGCATACTTGCAAATAAATTAAATTATGTAATCTTTTATTTTATGCAAGCAAGGTTTCGTGGGAGTGAAGTCTGAGGGTTAGATTTTACTTGTACTGATTCTATATGTACATGAAATGCATGCAAGTAATTGGTGCGTCCTTTTTTGATTAAACTGGTTTCTTTTGTTTTATAGATGATTCAAGATTATATACGCATCAAGTAATAGGACGTATTAGTTATGTAATCTAGGTTGATTGATACGGAAGAGTCAAGTCGTTGAAAGTAAAGCTAGTGAGTGACATCATCGGTCTTGGTAATTGGCTTTTGTTAAGTCTTTGTTGCAGTAATCGCATTAAAAATATGGTGAGTTGGTTAAATGCTTTATATTTGTAAAAATTCAATAATAAAGAAATTACTGAGCTAATTTTGCGTTTTAATCGATATTTATTTTTTAAGATTGGTCTAATTTTTGTTTTTGTAATTTCAGCCACGAATAGTTCCTCTGCAGCTCCTAAAGTGCCTGAAGGTGCTGCTGGATGACAATGGGGGCATCCTAAGCATAGGAGAAGTAAAACGGATCGCAGGGTGAGTTACCATAAAATTGCTGAGTTTCGAAAATTTTTCCTTTGAATTATCTGCAATCATGAACATACGTACCATGAACGAAAGACGCAAGATCACGCGGGAAGGAAAAACGAAAAAAGTTATTTTCTAGCTGCCGAAATCTCGACGCCATCTTTGTTGTAAGAAGTAAACAACGAAGAGAACGGAGAAAACCGCGAAATTGTTGAACGCATGAAAAATCATTTTTATTATGCAAATTCTTCTATAAATCATGCCGTTGTGTTAAATTATTCTTTATCTTATGTGTACACACGTGGTCACAAGTGAAAATGAAGAAAATTGCAGTAAAAAGCCACCACCAAATTGTAAACAACGAAGAAATGTAAACAAACTCAACTTTTCAACTTTTTTCCTAAATGCGATTCTAACGCAAGAATGATAGAATACAAGATTGCGCCGATTGCAGCAGAATTCGTG